TTTGAGATGATACCCTGTTCAAGGCATCTGAATTACTCCAATAGGTAATAATTTTATGTAACGTACATTTTATGCAACTTTTTAGCACGAGGCAAAGTGCTAGGATCTTCTTTGCAGCAAAACTGGCGTGCCCCCAATACGTAGTCTCGCAAGAAATCGTCCGGTACAACACTGGTTACGTCCGTGTAGAATGTCTCGTCGTCTTCTTTGCTTATGCGATCGCGCAACGCCCTGGAAGATACACAATATAATTTTTTTTGGTATACCAATCGACAATCAGGCGGGTGCCAAGTGGCCAGCACATTGCTATTGTGTTGAATGTTTTTGACACACTTGTAGAGAAAAGTAACTAAAAAGTGGACAGAGGAAAAATTTTATGGTTGTTCTTAGTAGTAGCTTGAATGTGTTGCAAATTTTTTTTATACATACTCATTTACAGAATCAGATTTTATGAAAAGCGACCTGTGTGTCAGTACACATACTTTTCGATCAAATGAATTCTCACAGGTAGGCGTAGTCTCACCTTTACTGGTATCACAACTGTGTGATACACAGGTATCACACAGTTGTGATACCAGTAAAGGTTATCGGCTGCGGTGAGAAGGTTATTCAAATATCTCTCACTAGACGTTACTAGCGGCGACGAAAGCCGAAAAGTCAGTACGAACATATATAACACATAAGACAATTCTTGACGTCTAGGTAACTGAACCCATGGCTCAGTCAAGTCTGTGTGTTCGATCTTTACATTGATAATCACAACAAAACCAGTGGAGTTTGATATTGATCATGATATTCAAAATAAAATATCCATACTGTTTGTCCAAAAGAGCACTTACTTGAAATTGTTATTAGTGAAGTACCATTCCTTCGTCGTATAATATTGAATCACGTTCAAGCCGTGGCTGATGCGTTTTTGGAGATTCACCATGCTGCAATAGTGGAAATATTTAACATCGCTTTTGATATATTTCAAGATCAGATCTTGCATTCGCCAATCTCTTCGTACGAGCCCTCTTATTTTTGTCACTACGTACTCCAGCCTTTTTAAGAACACTCAATCAGATCCTGAGAATGTTCTTCTTCTTTCAATGATGCCTTCCACGTTAGTACTATATATTTCTTTCGTTAATCTACATTCACCTGCTTCATGTGTTTAAACTACCTCAATATTCTTTTCAATTTTTTTAATTAAATATTGATTTTTGGATAGCTAAACTGTTATTAGGCAGAAGTAATATTTAACCTTCTGGCTACCCGAGCTTCAGCAAGAAGATCTGAAAGCTCTTTAGCGAGGAGTTTCGTTGGTGGATTAAAATTTTAATTTGGGCTGAGATTAATGTGTTATGTAGTATTATTTTGCTCTGGTATCCGCTCCATACTTGCGTGGACATGGATGACGGTAACTTTATTCACGCAAGTCGTATTCTACACTGCTATCTGTAGAGTTTCTATGGACCGATAAATAATCACACCATTAGGCCTTTTGTTGTCGTTGTGACGGATACCAGAGAGCATGAAGATAGCCGATATTTTCACTCAATTTGTCTCTTAACTCAAATGATTATGACCTTTATGACAACCATATTTGTTAAGTTTGTTTAGTCAATTAAGGTAATGAAACTTACAAAGTCTTCCTTCCCAAAAGAAACAGCAGCATATCTATAAAATAGGCCGGTATGATGTGAAGGAAAATGACGCAAAGCTGATGGGTCCACCAGTACGATTTCACGGAACCACCGGGGTACCACAAAGCTACCGTGTGAGGGTATACGTTTACCCATTTACGACCTGTAAATTAGTTTACATTCATTATCATCATCATCAACTCATTTGATATGTCTCACTGCTGGACAGGTCTCCTCTCAGGCGAGGGTTTTAGGCCATAGTCCGCCACGCTGCCCAGACATGAGCACCGTGTCGGCGCGCCGTCGCCGCCGCGTTTCCCCCCGCGCCACCGCCGCCGAAATATGCAATCGGCGCGCCATCCAGTTCAGTTCGAGCAGACGTTTCGACGCGCACGCTTTCTTGTTGTGTATGCTAGTGGAAATGGCGACGCCAGAAATTGACATTTCTAAGATAAAACTTAGTGACTTTACATTCTAAGATGTTTTGTTTAAAACATTAATTTGTCAATTTCTGACGTCGCCATTTTCACTGCGCTTACACAATACGATCTGAACGCTTGATGGGACTGATAAAAATTAGATTAATAAAGAAAATACTTTATTTTATGCTTTTGTAAAAATAAACACCGTTACACAAATTCGTTTCATGGTCGCTCTCATGCCACCAGAACGCCGCCGCCGCCGACACTTTTTATCGGCGCCCAATGCGGGTTGGAGACTTCACACCTTCATTTTCATTATGATGTTTTTCTTCACCGATATCATGGGAAATTTAAAATTAAACGCACAGAAATTCCGAACAACTTAGAGCTCGGATTCGAACCCTCAGTGCTCTGCTTGTGAGATGGTAGGTCAAACCATTAGGCATTAGGCAAACCGTGGTGGCTTTTTAGTTTACGTTATCATCATATTTTTTAATGTAAATCAGGCAAACGAACAGACTAGCAACTTGGTGAGAGGTGGTCATCCGCCCTCGTCGGACATCTGCAGTATCTGAGTTATAGGTAGCTGCCTACGCGTTGCCAGCATTTGACAGGCCTGTTGATTTGCTGAAAAACCCCATGTCATAACGCAAAGGAAATACTTTAAGAGGGAGACTATTGCACATCTTCCTGGTTCGAGGGAGGAACGAACGTGACGCTTGCATGGTCTAGAATGCCGGGCATCAAGGATGTAGAGATCGGCTGTATACTCCTTTAGCGGGAGTTGTGGTGGTGGAAACTATATTACTTGTAATTGTGCACAATATTGCCAATAATCCATGAAGGATTACCATTATATTTTTATATAATATATATAGTTATCTATAGCAATACAAACCTAATTCAATGATGTCTTCCCACTTAATTTTAATCATCCCAGACAAGGTGATATTGTACACGCGAACTTCTTTTGGCCTGTGGATGAAATTGAAAATTGGAGACCGGATTTTTTTGGGCAAATGTATTATTAGGTAATTGGCGATTGTAATTAAGCTGATCTTTAAAGTGTCGGCTAATCGGGTCATTGCAGAATGTATGTGACATATCTGCACCGGCCTAAAGTTTTCCCAAATCTTACTTGTCAAGAGCAGTGGCGTATGCGAGTAGAATACAGCCATTGGCGGTGACATCGACGGGCATCGCGTCCGCTGTGTACGATGGCTCGCAGTGCATTGTGCGGATTACACCTGGACATTGGTGTTATGGACATTACAAGAATCACACTCGCTAAGACGGTCGGAGATGAGAGAAACTTTCCTTGGGCTTTCATTCTCGTTATATTTCTGCGTCCCGGACAAAATCAAGACCCGGATCTTAAATACTGGGAAAAACGAGACTTTCGAGACTATTTTAAAAGCAGGTTTCTATACCTGTAGGTTACTTATAGTTTACTAACTCAAATGTAATATCAAAAAGTTTTTAATTTTTGTAGTGGCAAGGCATTCCATATAGTTTCAGATGGAGAGGTCCTGATTTGTTCAATCGCCTCACTATTTTACTACAGCGTTTCCACGTTCCTGTTACCAGATTAATTAAATATTACTGTTGGTTTTGGTGTTGGTTTAGTAGATTTTTTAATACAGTTTAATTAAGTAACTTAAGTTTCGATATTCCCGAGTCTTTTGTCGATCAGACATCAGACCCAAGTCTCGAAAATGACAAAAAATAGTCGAGATTTTCGAGACCGAGATTCGCACAATGAATGTTCGAGTGCGTGTTAGGGATCAATTATGTGCTTGTTAGAATGGACTGGGACCGAAACAAACGACAGTTTACGTTCCACGAATACTTATCTCTACATTACGTCCAACAGTTTTGTTAATAAGATATAACGAAATACCTTTTCCGCTGGCGATTAGTAAACCTGTTGGACCGTTTAAATTATCAACCCAACCAGGATACGGGTCTTTCCACGCACATAGTACTGCAAAATAAAATATGATATTAAGCGCCATCTCTTAAATAAGTCTAAAACTAGAACGCCTATAGACGTTTCCTTGACTTAACATTAGATAGCGTTAAAAGAAAATTTTAACATAGTTATCATTTACCAATAGATGGCCTGGCGATCGCTAATGGAAACTTTGACCCATACTCAGCCACGAGGTCCTCGGTGATTGCTTTGGTGTAAGAATAAGTGTTCGGCTCGGACTGAATTAATCTGAAAATAAAAATTACATTAAGTACATACACATAACATCAGCCGAGAGTAATGATGGGAGACTTCTTGTCTGCCTTTTAGTCCTGGTAGGTCCTGGTCTTGATTGTCAGCATCGATCGGGGGTTTGGCAAATTCACTTCCATTATTTCTGGGTTTAGCGGACAACGATAACCCACATTATGAAATGCCAATGGCATGTAGCGTCCGCAATCCTCCCCGATCCGTATTGGACATGAGTTAGGCTTTATTTAAGGGTTAAAGATCGTAGATTATGATCTAGAATGCGCAGTTCCAAATGATAAAATAGTCAAATTCACGTCAACCATAAAACACGGGCAGGTAGGATAATATCAGGATAGTGTGTTGCTTGTGACATAGTTCAAGAGGTTTAAACTATTTGATGTTTTCCTTTCGACAAATGATGATAATAAATAAATAATCAATAAAAATGTAACAATAATTACTATATAAACCAAAGGAAGGAAGCTACCGGGGCACGACCGTGAGCAAACCGACAACCCTATTAGATATATTTGTTTCTGAAATTGATCAACCTGGAATCGAAGACCCTATGTTATTATATATACCAGATCAATAGATAGGTGGGGCGTATCAAGTACCACCGCCGAAATCGGACACCGTTATTTTGACATTTCGACTCTCATTTAAATTTTAACTGAATTGAAATTCAATTACTTTTTTGTGAAATTACTCCACTAGTTTGTTGCGAACACTTAGAAAAAAATTCCTTCGATACGGCCGGATTCGAACCGACGTCTTCTTGCTAACCGTGGCTGACGCTATGCCAATTAAGCCACGGAACGAACCAGCGGACTTCACGAATTTTTCCGTGTGCTTATTGCCGTATCTTTGTATTTGGTTTTTCAAAGACTTTTTAGCCGTAGCGCCATCTATGAGAAATCTATGAAAGTATTTCGTCACCCAGTTAGACACCTTTACAGTTACCAGCTCCGGCTAGAGATTTCGACTCCATTTAGTGAAACACTACATTTCATCAGCTGTTGCCATATACGGTAGTGATAATTTACTAAGGATATGATACTTGCTTTGGCTCTAAGTGATCCAGCAGCTCGTCATCCATCCACTGTGTGATGTCCATAATGCGACGAGGTTTGTGCACGGCAGGGTACAGCTTCTCCTCTAGCACATCCAGGTGGCAGCGGCAATATGCTGTTGATAAGTGTACGAATACCTGAAATTAAGTTACGTATCTTACTGGGTGCTAGTAGAAAGTTCCCAGAATCCCCGCATCCTATATTCTGCTGTACACGCCATTATTAATAATTCATTAATTACGCATCATTTGCAAGTTGTCACAATTTATGCTTATTAACCGCTCACGCGATACATGCAGCCGTAGACGCATACCACACCTAGAGGTGCCGGTGATGTTTTTATACCGAATATAAATGTTTATAAACTATACTTTAAGGAGTAATTTCATGGTAAACGTTAGAACCACTCAAACGGCATATTATCATATTTATCCAAGTACACCAAAAATTTAATTAGTGCTTTTTAAATGCAGGATTTGCGGTGTATTACTGCATTTTATTTGAGATGTTTTTGTTGGCAGTACGGAGGGTATTTATTTAGCAATGCAGAATAATAATTTTTATTTATAAAAACTTGTATTTAAACTGAATGCTTTTCTAATTTGCGAAACCAAATAGCCGCCATTTTGCGGTAGGAGGAGCGCGTCGCGTGAGCGGTTAATAGATGTCCCTCAACACTGAAGATATGGCTCAAGATCCTTTTGAAGTCCTAACCAACCAAATGCAAGTTTTGATCACTTGAGATTGTATAATCTAAGATGATTATAGTTCTATTGGTTGAGATGCATTTTGAGAGCTAAGCAACATCTATGACGATATGCACTTAATAAGACTTAGCGCTGTTTATGAACACAGGCCTAGTTTGTCAACCTTTTTTAAAGCAGAGCTTTGTACAAGGTCATAAATACATTATTGTAACAGATAAGTTTGATTATAACGTCGATATGTTTCTTAAGAGAGCTTGTGATGAATTTTGAGATCAGAGTAACTGTTTATTAATCAATGCTCTTCATTTTTTAAAGTATTCAAAGTAGTCAATTGTATTTCAAGTACATTGAAACTGCACATGCAATCGACTACCATCTATTCAAACGTATGATAGCCCAAGCCTGATGCCACGCCTTACCTCGAGCTTTTTCATTGACTCGGCAAGCTGCAGCACAAGCAATGTTCCTGTGGTGTTCATTGCCACGGCATCCTTTAGTTTCTGATCAAATCTGAAAGTACATGCGTTAAGGTTGATACGGCCATGGCAAGGTAAGAATTTTATCTCAGACCTATCGGTGGAAGGTTTGAGTTCAAGTAACTGTCCACAGTATTCAGTATTTTGGAAATAGGTTTAAAGCGAACAAGAGCATTATTGAGAAACCTGCACTTTGGAGTTAGTTTATAAAAGCTTTTCAAAATACTTGAACGTAAGTGTGGTGATTACTAATTAACTGTAACTCGAGGACATGGCAAGGAGATGAAACGGAAACTCATCTCTGGAGCTGTATCGTCAGTACCATTGAGACGCGTGCGACGAGGATGGTTTCAACCTTAGTGGCACCGCCCCGACTGGCCCCAATCATCTATTGCATTCAGCGGTACCGAAGACGTTGCCATACGAGACTTCATTACTCCAGTAAAGTCTGAGGATATTGTGGAGTATGTACGGGTGAAAGCCAATCCTGGCATGAGGGCCGAACAGTTGGAGTCCCGCTACAATTTGAACTTTAACTCATTTGTGGTGAAAGTACCAACTCAATATTTGTCGACCTTCATGAAGGAGGACTTTTGGCCGAAGCGCGTCGTGTACCGACGTTTCCGAGGACGGTTACCGGACACCCACGTTGCGTCACACATCGCGGCCCATACGTGTAAATTAATAAATAGTTTTATTATATTTTATATGATTATGATATTAGGGCCTTGCATTAAGTGGTTAAATTATAAAGCAAATATATCTCCAAATGTATCCATTCTGCTCTGAAATGATTTATAGTCTGATTACCACAGTGAGAGGTTAATTAAAAGCATGGTTACCTGACGCAAGCAGCACTGTGGAAGACCACATGGCAAGTGTCTCGCAACAGCTGTTTATCTTGCTCCGAAATGCCAAGCTCTGGCTCTAAAATGTCGCCGGATATGATGCGAAGTTTCTTGAAGGCGTTTGGATTATTTTCTCTTACGAGATCGAACACCTGAGAATGTGAGCACAACAGTAAAATAATTAGGCAAAAATACAATGAGACTTGTGATTTAGACGAATCAAATGATACCACATTCGTAGGAGTCGGTATAATTTAAAAGTTACAAAGGAAAATCCACATCCACTTTATGTATAAATATAGTGTTAAAATCACTACCAGTATTTACATCATTCTTGTTGGCTTTGCTGTAGTCGAATTGAAATTTTATTGACCTATAACTGTCGAGTATGCAAATGTCGATGCAAATACCTAGCAGCGTCATCTATTGGCGGTATAAATAAACTTTGGATTCGATTTCGATGCCTACCGTGTATATTTCAATTGTACGATAAGGTCAGTATTTGTAAACATACAAATCGGAATGTGTTTTACATTTTCAAGTTATAGTAAAGTTACGATAATCTAACCATTTAGTAATTGTACGTATTTTTATCATCAAGTATATAACCAGAAACAGAGACGAAATAAGGGCCATATATTCCTGGTAACACATTAGCGATACAGCTCTTATAAATATCAACTACCGTTTGTACTGAAATATAAACAGGCCAACTACTGACCTGTGTGTACGTCTCCGTATATTCCAAAAAATATTCTGTATTTATTGTAATAAAGATAATATCTCTAACAATACCGTGCTGTTCTATTCGGAGTTATAGGGAAAACAGCAAAACATCTAATTACAAAACAAACGGAATCATATTTCATCGGTAATGAAATATTAAATATGTAATTTTGCAATTTTCGTCCATTATAGCAAAGCTCAAGTTAACTAGTCGATTTGAAGTGAGACAGTTGACGACACCCATTGACGACACCCGTCAATTGCTTCGAACCCGGGCTAGCCAATCGGAGCGCAGTTGTCACAGTAATGATATGGCAGAATAGTTTTCAAACAAATTAAATGACATTTCGTCTCTATTTCTGGTTATAAACTAGATGATTTTTATGGAACATAAAGTTAATAAAAAAGCATCTTACCCTTTGGCTGATTAATTCCTTTAGCCTTTCATCAGTCGAGAGCCCTTTCTTCACCCTTATCAATAAGTAAATGGTGCCTACATCAGGACAGCTGCGTAGGAACTTTTCTACCAAAGCCTGGAAATAACATTCACAATCAAAGAAGATGAGAAAGACACGTCATGTTCTTGAGGCCCCATTATCATCTTAGTTATAATTAGTATCATGGGAGCAGCTGCATGGTGTATCTGCTTGCTTCCAGAACGCATGGCTGTTGAGAAGAAGAGGGCATGCATCTGTTCCTTGTTGTCTACAAAATAAATATGGGAATTCAAGAA